GATTGAGATTTGAGAGATTGAGAGATGGATTGAGTATTTGAGATTTGAGTGTGATTTTTTAAGAAAAAAATGGGTATTTATAATATTTTTACCCTCCCCCCTCCCCTCCCCATCCCCCCCTCCCTTTAACGGCTCAAGAGCCGTTGAGGCCCCCCCCCCTGACATTTCTTTTTTTTTTTCAGCTTGCAGGTGTCCGTTGGAGGCTTGGAGCAATGGAGAAAAAAAAGAAAAAAAATATGAAACCGGCACCGGTAACGAAATTTGGGAAACGGACACGGTACTGGTTGGGGCGGTACCGGTTCCTGGAACCGGTGACTCGTTCCCGGTGGCGGTGACGGTACTCGGTACCGGCGGTACCGTTGCCGGTGACGGTACCGCACCGGTACCGTGTCCAGGCCTACACACGAAAGATATACCCGAGTACCCCCTTCTTGTTTGGCCTTTAAAACAATGAAATTGTAACCCGCGTTTCTACTCATTACTTAGGGTCGGTTCTTTAGTACTGTAAAAAAAGAGCTTTGGAAGAAACTGGAAAAAACTAGAAGGAATTGGAAGAAACTGGAAAAAACAGGAAGAAACTGGGAACTGAAAGAACTGGAAGGAACTGGAAAAACTGGAAGAAACTGGAAAAAACTGGAAGGAACTGGAAGAAACTGGAAGAAACTGGAAAAACTTCAAAAAATTGGAAAACCTAAAAAAACTTTAAAAATATTTATTTTAAATTCTTGTTGTTATATATTATTATTATTATTATTATTATTATTATTATTATTATTATTATTATTATTATCATTATCATCATCATCATCATAATCATCATCATAATCATCATCATAATCATCATCATCACGTTATCTTAGTGAATGCCTTTAAGATATAAAAAAAGTATTGTGATTTTTTAAATACAAAAAATTACTTTTACAAAAAATAATTATAATAACAATAATAATAATAATAATATTAATAATAATAATAATATTAATAATAATAATAATAATAATAATAATAATAATAATAATAATAATAATCACATTGAAATATATCATTTTTAGAGTAATTGGTTGAGGAGTAGAAAGAATTTGAAGAAAATGAGAAAAGTTGGAAAATACTAGAAGGAACTGGAAGAAACTAGAAAGAACTGGAAGAAACTGGAAGGAACTAGAAGAACTGGAAGAAACTGGAAGAAAACTGGAAGAAACTAGAAAAAACTAGAAGAAACTGGAAGAAACTGGAAGAAAACTGGAAGAAACTGAAAAAAACTAGAAGAAACTGGAAGGAACTGGAAGAAACTAGAAGTTAAGAGTTCAATCCCTAAATAACAGGCTCTTATTCTTATTAAAATTAGATCTGATTAGATCTAATTAGATCAGGTGAAATCAAATCAGATCTAAACAAAATTATTATTATTATTATTATTATCATTATTATTTTTATTAATAATTTATTATTATTATTATTATTATTATTATTATTGTTATTGTTATTATTATTATTATTATTATTATTACTATTATTATACTATTATTATTACTACTATTACTATTATTGTTATAACTATTAATATTAATATTAATATTAATATTAATATTAATATTATTACTATTATTACTACTATTATTAATTTTAATATAATTATTATTATGATTATAAATATTGTTACTATTGTTACTATTACTATGGGGTGCAATTGAAGGAGGTGGAAGGGGGTGTTTGGGTCGGGACCGGGTGGGGGGGGGGGGGGGTTTAC